GTTTATGATGCTACTACATTCCCTACTGCACAGATTCATTAACCAATGTGATCATAATGACATGAGAGAGAGAAACCTAACCTATAGAAATACATACTTGAACTACAACTACATGTGGTTATGGAAGCCATATTTAACTTAAACAAGAAACACTGGACCATAAATACATCTAAAGAGGGGATGTATGTTTGGATGACGTAAGTAACTTTATATTTAGAAAAATTACAGAATATAACCTGTTGAAATTAGTATTAGAATGTTAATGCAGCTGGGCAATAGGTAGCATCCCTGAAGTATAGTTGATGCCTATATCAAATCCTTACTCAAACCCTTGAAGGATCACAACTAATAAATGAGAAGTATTTTGAAACAGTTTGAAATAACTTGGAAGTAGCATTGGAAGTTCGGGTATAGCCATTTTTAATTTATAACTACTGACTAGTGGGAGCTCAACAGGTTAGCAGCATCTGTTACCTTTACAGTTTCTCTTAACCAAATATTGGAAAAAACTGTTACATTTATAATGACTTTACAGCTGAGAGTATGCAGCATGTCTAGCGTCATATCACGGTTAGAACCTTTTACCTTACGATCCACAACTTGGTATGTGGACCACTAAGCTAAGGTTAGCCCACAAATTAAATAAATTTTAATGTGAATGAATGAAAGTCAAAGGGTACAAACATATTGTAGAATGTGTAAAAGTTATAAAATCAACAACTAAATATGAGAGTAAAGAAGTATATACACATTGATGAATGAATAATTTAAAAAAATAATATAAATAGTTAAGAAAAACAAAGCGTTATAGTCCAGCAATATGGTATAGATATTGATAAAATTGTCTAATATTATTTAAAAGCATGAAACATGGTATGGTGTTGGTTAGATACTTGATAATCATTTTCAGATATAAACCCGCCTGAATTTCCAATATGGCTGCTAAACGCAGGATGGTTGCGTACGAGAAGAGGAGTAGCTACGATATAAAGCTGTTTGCTTGAAGTTAAAGATGAGTGAAAACTCATAAATGATTAATAATTACCTTTAAAGGTTCTATAGAAATTCGAAAACTCCATAGTTAAAGTATGATATTAAACTATGCGTCGTATTAAAACAGACACGTGATTCCAGTTTTTTCTCACCACAATTTAGCAAATTTTCGTATAAATGCTTGACACAGAAGTTTTCTGAATGCGTTATAAGAAATTCAAATCATACAGTTTTCGATGTTCAAAACTTGTGTTGGTGATTTGTTATGTTACTTGGGTATGTACAATATACACAGTATGGAAGTGAATACACAAATAATAATTTCTGTTCTATTTTTGTTGGTTTTTCTCCTTCACAAGAATTTTGACAACTGATGAATATTCCCGGTATTTGAAAATACTTTATTTTTCTGATAAAGCTCAAGATCAGTGACACAGTTATCAAATAATTGTAGTTTCGTGGTGTTTTTGAAGTGATTGAATAAATATTAACATAACAAAATCAGTTAAAATTGTTGGGTCTAGGACTCCACTAGTAACTTCCAAAGAAGCAGTAGCTATAGCCTGGAATATTTATGTTTTGTGTAAGGAAAAAAGACTGAAAAAATATATAGTGTCCTGCCGATCTTTGAATCAAGCAAAAGGAGTGTAAGTATGAAATTCTTTTCAATGATATTCATAAATTTAGGTGGTTAGAATGCTTATTTATATCGCTTGACAGTAAAAGGCTAGAAAAAGAAAAATATTTGCAGTTAACCTATAAGCTGCGTAAAGTTAAGTGGCACAAAAGTTATGGAAATAAGTGTAATAACCTTATACGTCAAAGAGTTGAAAAAAGGTAGAAGATTCACAAGATCAAGTAAGATTATAAGGCATTACTCTGAGAAACTTCTATTATATCCTAGGAAGGATGTTGCTGTTATTTTCTGTGATGATTCATTGGTAAAACTTCATCAAGTTCTTACATTTATAATGAACGATCCTGTGAGAAAAAAAATGTACACATGTTTTACAATATACAGTTTTATTCTTCAAACTCAATGCTGGTGACATGATTTCGCAAAATGCTGTTTGTCATTCTAAGTATCTTAAAATGGGAAACAGCATTTGCCAAATCTCCTGTTTAGCAGCTCCTATCCATTTACTCTAAAGAAAATCCGAATAATAGAAAATACTACTTCATTCTGTTGTATATCAATATCTTTAGTTCAACAAGGAATACCTAAAAGTTTAATTTGACTAACTTACTAATAAAATGTGTAAAGAGTAAAGAACCAAGCATTTACTCCTGAGATACTCCACTTGTAAAAAGGACCCAGTTTCCCAGAACTCCTTTGGACATAACTATAATATTGATTGTCCTTTAATTGTTTTAATCTAACACGAATTTTCACCTAAACTCTCTACATTTGTTTTGAAACCTCACTTTAAGCATCGATTTTTATTCAGATCTTTCTACATTTCATAAAAACACTAATATAATAAATTACCATACTCAATCTTGTTAATTTACAACTTTAAACAGTTCTATCTTCACCAAATAGCGACTTACCACGGAGTTATTAATATTATTTCAACAAATTTAAATCACAATTTAAAAATGTATAGTTTGTCAATCAAAATATCAATAGATTTCCAGTACGTAGTTTACTCCAGACACTAAAAATTTTAAACAGAAAGACGAAATCACTGCTATAGATTTTATACACAACAACTGAAACTTAATTAAAATTATAGTTAAAACCTACCATAGTTGGTACGGTTGAGATTTATTTCCTCAAAACATCTATATAAATAATACGCGTGAGTTTAATCTTCTGTCTGTCTGAAACTTTTCTCGCAAATTTCTCGATTAAATGCTACAAATATCATATTGTTACGTCTCTGGTCGTTAGTTAATTTTCCGTAAAAATTATTTCCGAAGAAACTATAGCAATACAAGTCCTTTCTTAAATAAAACTGTTTTATTCTTTCTGAATACAACATTGCAATACACTTAATTTCCACAGTCACGCTATAACAAACGCTATAATTCACAACGAACGTCTCACGTGCTCTACTCAACTGTCCGTATCTATCTCTGTCTGCAGTTCAATTACACGTTACATTGTTGCCGTCACTTCTTACCGGTCTTATATACTGTTGAGTCAGCGAGGTCACGTGACTAGTATCACGCCAACTGTTTCTAGAAATATCCT